GCCCAGAGAGGAAGACATTTCAATGTAAAATGCAAAAATAGAAAAGATAAAAAACACAAAATGTTTTCCTTCAGTTTGCTTCTAAATCTCTAATTATAGATTGCTTTCACGCCACTTTGAAGGAAGCTGTTAGTGGGGATCAAGCATTTACAGCTCCTCGGAGTGATATCCCAATAAACTACTTACATCCAGCAGATCTTTTTACGCCACTGCTGCACCTCTCCTTTCAATTTTAGCCTGTTCGGGGTGTGGTATTTCTGATCCTCAAAGGGAAATAGGAAAGCTATTAGGCCAAATGGGGAAACCACATGCAAATCATTGGGAAGGCAGTTCCCTCAAACTGCGCTGAAGCCTCCACATGTGGCACCGCGCTCCACAGTTTATATCTTTGCGTGTTCAGTCAATTTTGTAAAGGCACACCCATTTGAACCTTAGTTTTTCACTCTGATGATCATGTTTGTGTCCTATATGTACGCAAATATGTACATCTCATGTTTCATTCAAGTATCAACTCAGGTTTTGCTCCTTAAATTCCTTGAAAGAAATAAAAGTACACTGAAAAAAAAATTCCGTAAAACTTACCGTAAAAAATACGGTAGCAACATTTTAGGTTTTACGGTTTTAACTTAAATTTACAGTTAAATACCGTAATTTCGTTAACTGATATAATGTTAATATACCAACCTATTGAAGTACTGAAATCTGTTTTGTACCTTTGTAATACACTGATAACCACCAAATGCAGGTGGTGATGAGAAAGTCACATGATGAACCAAAGCCCATCACAAGCAGCTTTTAAATAATAAAATATATAGAAGGTGCACAGTGTCATTCACACAAACACCAAACACCATCATGGTAACACACATGAAACTGAAATAATGCAATAAACATTAATATCCAATACAGTTTTTCACCGTATATAGTAGGGGAATTTACCGTAAACCATTTAACTGGTTTTTACTGTAGCATTTTTACAGTCTTTTACCATTAAATTCACGTTCATTTTTTACAGTGTAGGCACAAATGAGTCACTAGTGTCATCCAGTAAGTGTATAAAACTATAAAATAAATGTGGAGCAGCTTAGATAATTTGACGAGAAATGTTTAAGTTCATAATGAGATCATTTGATTGCAGACTTTGACAAATCTGAGTTTAAGACGTTGTTGAGATCTCTTCCAAAACTCTAGAGGAGATGAATGTGAGATTCTGTTGATTACGTAATTGCTATAGATAGAGCACAACAGAAAAACTCTATTCGTTTTCTCCATATGGAAATAGATTTTTAATGCTAACTGATAAACCGTTAAAGGCAGACCTGTTGTGAGCTCCGTGGTTGTTTATCAATTGTATATGCTTTTGTTGAAACCATCTGTTTGCTTTAATTAAACTTATTTTTAAAATAATTGTTTAATAGCAGAATTTGCGGTGAAAAACTACATTACCCATGATGCTGTAGAGAAGATTCCACCAATCATAGCGTTGCAGTGAGCAAAGCTCCGCCCACCGTAAATGGGTAAGCGAATCGGTCTCCTTACACTTCCAAGTTAAATATTTGTGTGTGTGTGTATAGTGCATGGTTTAAATACATACAATAAACAACTTTAAATGAATAGTTTTACTATTTATACATTTATTAATACATTTTTACTCTGATTATGTCTTTTGCAATGCTTCATGGGATTGTAGCTGTAGGTCTTTCCCTAATTAAATCCACTAGGTACACAGTCTTGCACCTTTGTCTTTTTATCCAATTTTCATATACTTTTTGCTTCAAGTCAAAGTTTGTAATATTGTCATTCTCCTCGTAGCTGGTTGGTTTGATTCATGGCTTATATTGCTTTAATGAAGACTTTTTATGAATCCCTATGGGAAAAATGAATGGGAAAAATACTTCCAGAAAGCAGTGCCACTGAAAAAGTGGGCGGCACTAATGCACTGTATTGTTATTTAATGTTAACTACATTCAAAATGCACAGGGCTGATTTGTGTTCATTTTTATTGTATGTTTATTTATAATGCAGTATATGATAAAAATTGACCAGCCTGGTGGCCACATTACAGATCTACATTTCTTCTTCGATGAATCATTCTATTCTTCAGTTGCATCACAGTTTTAGTAACTCATGACTTTGCATATGTTTCCATTCATTTGAGAAGGAAAGTCAAGAGATCAGATGAGCAGACAAGGCCATCCCAGCCATTTGCAATTGCACATGCATTAGTATTTGGAAAATTATTCTTCACTTTTCAACACTCACTCGACCTCCTCCAATTACAGTGTGAGGTATATTGATAAAATGACCCCAAGATCGCTTGATGAGTATGTTGAAGTATTTCATCAATGTCATCTGTATTTTTAACTGATTTACAGGAAGAAACGGTGTGTGCATTTTACATATGTATACCTGCTAAACGTTTATTATGTCACTGTTTAGTTAGCAGTCTTGTATAAAAGCCACAAAACTGATTTCATAGGGTCTTTAAATGGTTTTCCTATCTCGTACCAGCATGGGAGAGTTTACTGCATTATTTACTTCCACCAAAGTAGGACTGTGGATTACGGCTGCTAAGAGCTCCAAAAATGACCTAATCTAACATTTAAATCTGCCAATAAATCACTGTGTGGTCTTTACTGCAATGTTTCTGACAGCAACGTGATTCATGTCGTTAGAAATAACACTACCCCCTATGGCACCAATCTAATTAGCCAGTGCAGTTCAATACTATGATTGCAGAAATTAATGTGTTGCATGATTGTGTATGTGTGTATTTCATTTTGTGCTCTGCAAGGTAGAGACGCAGGGTCAGTTGAAGAGCAGACTGCTAAATATAGTCTGTGTGTTACTGTAAGGGCCAAACTCTCACAAACTACAAGCTTGCTCTGACCATGCCTTGTAATTGAGGGAGAAAATAAAGAATGAAATTACATGTTTATTTTTGAAAACAATTTTAATCTTCTCTCCCCTCATTTTGGAAAAAAAGCAACACCCACAAGGACACTCAAAACCAAGATGGGCTGTCGGAAAGCCATTCCAACTGTTTATTCACTTGATGGATGTCTGTAAGCCAGAGCGAGACTCTTAAGAGCTGACAACTGCTGTGCGGTGCATGAACACTGAACTGAAATATGGAAAAAATTAGGAAAGAGAGCGATTTCAGTTGTGCATTTCTGAGTGAAAATGTAGTCAAAATCAAGAAAATAAACAAATTGCAAATGAAGTTTATAGGCAAGGCTGTTAAAAGCATCTTTGACTTTCATGCACTTGAGTAAAAAATGATTAATTTTGCACATTTTTTGAGGTTTCGGAACACAGAAGACATCATTTTGCCTTTTTAATTGTTTTTAAAGGTTGATTACGAAAATAGAAAAAAGTCGGCACACCTGGGCTCCAAAGATACAAAAATTGTAATAACAGACTATCACATAAAAATGTTTTTCTATTTTCATGATCAATTTTTTGTCGAGCATCCTGTTGGGGAGTTTTTCCAGAGATGTGCGTACTTTTGTTTTGATTTAGTTTACAATCACTTTGCTGTTATTTCTCATAAAAAAACTGCATAAAATCAGATTGTGTTGTTTCTCTTAGTCCGATTAGCTGAGATTTTGTTTTAGCCTTTAAATTGGCAGAATAACAGTACTTATACTTTATGCTCTGCATCTATAGACTGTTCATTACAGTCTTCGAAACCACCAACACCACTTTAATAACAGGACTCCGTATGATTCACTTGATTTGATTGACATTGTTATTGAAATTTATTCTTCAACTCTTGTGATAAAATATGATCAGGAATGGCATTTTTGCATCATTTTACAAAATGATTTGATCTATGCTTAGAGTAATGTGCGAAAACATTTAGTTCTCAGAACTGCTTATGGGGAAAATCTTTATTTGCATGTCTGATATAAGATGGGAATCGACTAGTTTACTGATTTTAGCAATTCATTTTTCTAAAAAGTTTTAAATGGACACATCCTTGCACTTCTCCCATCCATATATTCACATAAGAAAATCATTACAATTTTTGATCATAAGCACCAATCAAGCCCGTTTTTTCTACAATGTGACAATACGGAACCAAATGCATGAAACACAATACAACATTTGCATATGAAGTAAAAATTGCATATTGACATGAGTTTTTTTTAGTGATAGATAGATAGATAGATAGATAGATAGTGTAGCCTAGTATGTTTTAGAAACCTGCAAAACCACTGATAGAGAAAACGAGCATTTGTGCATTTTGTAAAACTTATAGTTGCTGATATATAGGTAAGTTTGTAAAACTTATAGTTGCCCTTGTGATAACTGTTCCCGATCAAATGTGAGAATTCTGAGCTACTATTTTCAAAGTAGGCTAGTTGATTTAAAAAAAAAGAATCTGTCAGTGATTTTATTGCGCAGTTGACTGCGAAAATCGTCAATATCGTAAATACATTTTAATCAAAACAGGGTTTTTATGGCATATTCGAGGTGTAAATATAGTCTATAATAATGTGATAAGTAGTAATGTAATAACAAAGACTACAGACTTTGGTAATAACTAGTAGTCTACTAAAGTAGTTCGCGATCGCGCAGCTGTTTCTATGGTTACGTTACTTACGCTAAAGCGATTTCTGTTCGGAGCGAATATATTTAGCGCTCGAAGTAACTTTTTGCGGTTGTTTGAAAACGCTGTTGAAAAGTAGGCTGCACTTATATATTAAAACAACACGTTCTTTTGAGACCCCCAGCCTTTTTATTTTACTTCTTTTTTCGGGGTGGGGGCGGTTATCTAACCCCACATAATTCGTAATCTGCTTTAAGGTATCCATTTGGGTCTCTCTCTCTCTCTCTCTCTCTCTCTCGCTCTCTCTCTCTCTCTCGCTCTGAGGTTGTTCAAAGTCTCTCGGGTCTCCAGTCATTAGAAGGCGGGTCTCCCGGTATCCGGGTCTCCTCATAGAAGAGTCGCTGCGCTCCGGCGGAGTTTATTTCAATCAGACTCTGGACCGAGAGCTTCTCCTGCCTTTGGACTGAACTTCACAGGACTGCTTCCTCCGGGATGGCCGCGTCGATTCTGGAGGTATGGAAAACACAGTCTGATCTCAGACCTGCGTATGTTTTCAGTCTGGTTTTATATCGGATCTCTATAAATATTTATAAGCGTCAAGTACGCGTATCAAACGAGGTGGTTCGAATTTTGTGCATTATTGGTTTGCATAGGCTTTCTTCTGATTCTGGTCACTCAGTAAAAGTTATTAGATAGCTTGTGTATGAAATTTAAAGTAGAATGAAAATAACTCATTTTAGATATAATTGCATGAACTATGTGATTAAAAAATATAAAGAAAACACTGAAATTCAGTCCATGTTGTCAGGAAGACTATGCACTTAAATTCACAGTTAAAACTAGGGTTTTGCATTCATTGAAGAGCCTGTGAAAGTTCTTTAAAAACTTTGTATTCTGTAGTCCTTTAGAAACCTAAATGGTGTTTAAGAAACTAGACACCAATACTCTAATGTGAATAACCCATAATGAACTTTGTAGAGCAAAAAAGTAAGATTTAAAGGTTCTTTACTAAACCTAAGAACCACTGAGGAACCTTCATTGTTAAGAGTGCAGGGATTGTTGCAACACAATCAAAAAGCTTTCAAACTTAGTCCAGCCTAGACACTGAATTATAAAAAAAAAACTAGGACATAAAACTCTTGCGGCAATGGTTTTGCTCCACGCGGTAATGGAGAGCAATTAACCTGGAAACGGGAGCAAAACCTTTGCCAAGATGAACCGCACACACTCAGCGGGAAATATCATCACACACACTGTGCCTTACTCATTCATTTATCATCACTTCCCAACGGAAAATAGGGTAGACCACTGCCTTTCCAAATGAAGCCAAGTCCAATAGTCTGTGACTGTAAGGTGATGTTGGGACTTAACATCTTAAGTTAGGGTTGTGGGAATCCTAAAATGCCAATCTGCTTTTTAATTTAACATCTAAATGGAGAACATTTTGTCCTTCAATCTTGAATTACTCATTGTTGACTGTAAACATGGTTACCACGTGTTTTTCTGTGGCTGTGTTCATGCACTGGCATGAAGCATGTTAAATACTTCGTGCTTGGATCAATGTGAGTGTGAGTATATGGGAAATAATTGACCATCTTTGATTTCTACATTTTTTATTCTTGTGCATTTGTTCAAATGCACAGTTGACACATTGATTGACAACACAATTAGAGTATTCTAAACCAAACAATTGTTTGTTCTTCCAAACAATATCATATTGTTGCCTGTTTTTCACAGACGGATGGTCACTATAGAGATGTAAACATGTTAAACAGGAACTCCATGTGTGGTGACATTAATTATTGTGTTGTCAGCGCTGGTGCATATTTCTGTCTAGACTAATAGCACAGGAAGGATGTTTGCACGACCTCTCTTTTATGCTAGAGAACATCATGATGCTACAGTCAAACCAAAATCTAGACACCTTCAACATTTCTCATATTATCACAGTTTATTCGCTATAGTTTAGAAAATGGTAATAAAATATGAGAAGAACTAATTCATCTTGATAATGTCAGATACCTTTGATAGAAAGGTACCTGTATGTAATGGATTACAATCAACCAAAAATGATTCAGCTGTTAAATTTAAGCACACAATTAGATCAAACCAATTCAGGTCAACCAATTACCAAGCAATGCTTAATTTAGTTCAGTCTGTGGTGTAAAAAGGTCGCATTAGCAATTAAAGAAAAACACTTAAGCAAAACATAGTCAGGTCAAAGTGTCTGAATATTTTTTGTTGCCAAATTTTACTGGTAGTAAGTAGTATTTTTGGGTATAATATATCACATCTCATTTTATTTGGCTATCCTCACTTACATAAATGAACTATAGTGTCCTGCACCCACTAGTAAAAAAATAATATGAATAATTTTTGGTTTGGCTGTATTTGAAGCAACATAGATTGCGTTCTGATCTCTTATTGTCTTCTCAGGAGGAAACACGTTATGGATCCAGTCCCTTGGCTATGCTAACCGCAACCTGCAACAAGTTTGGAAACACCAGTCCAGTCCGAGACTCCGCCACGCCCGGTAAAGCGGGAAGCACGGTACCAATCAAGAAAGCCTACAGCATGACCTCTGAACTCCAGAGCCCTAAGAATAACATGCGAGGCAATGAGGGCGTCGCGGACTCTTACAGCGGCTCCTTTAGCTCCGCCGGGGGTTTGCTCACTCCGACCGGCAGCCCTCCTCCTGCTCCCACGGGAGCGTACGGCTCCGAATACAACCCGTTCTCCAGTTTCCAAACCTCCAGTGCCTCTCAGGACCCTTCGCTCATGGGGACCAAAGCCACAGCGGACTGCCTGACCAGCGTCAACACCTACTTGGACATGACGCATCCCTATGGCTCCTGGTACAAGGGCATCCATCCCGGAATCACGGCTGCTCCTGCGAACGCAACATCTTCTTGGTGGGATGTCCATACCAACTCAAACTGGCTAAGCGCTGGACAACCTCAACCCGAGAGCCTCCAACCCGTCGCTCCTCAAGCATCCCTCAATTCCCAGATGCCTAGTTACACTAATGATTTTACACCTTTAAATCCGGCGCCATATCCGTCTGTAGGCTTGAGCTCGCTCCAATCCTCACAGCACATGCTCCCTCAGGACATGTACAAGCCCAAACCCGTCCCAACTTCTGGAATCCTGGACAATTCCATGGGGCTCAAACCGGCTCGGGGATCTCCCGGATACACCGGCGGATCTACAACCGGAAGGTCTTCTTGCGTTTGCCCAAATTGCCAAGAGTTGGAGAGGCTTGGCGCCTCGGCTGCATCCCTGCGCAAGAAACCCGTCCACAGCTGCCACATTCCCGGCTGTGGGAAGGTTTATGGCAAGGCTTCGCACCTCAAAGCCCACCTGCGTTGGCACACAGGCGAGCGACCCTTCGTCTGCAACTGGCTCTTCTGCGGGAAGCGCTTCACTCGCTCTGACGAGCTGGAGCGCCACGTCCGCACCCACACTCGAGAAAAGAAGTTCACTTGTCTCCTGTGCAATAAGCGCTTCACGAGGAGCGACCATCTCAGCAAACATCAGAAAACCCACACGGAAGCCAGCCTGCAAGCGAAGGGTCCGGAAGAGGAGGCGGAGCCCAGAGGAACCGAGGAGCCAGCGGATTCCGGTAAAGTGGCTCCTCAGGGGCCCGCCGGTGGCATGCAGGACCCGGCGGTTGGCGGAGACGAAAAGAGCAGCACGGGGAACGGTGTGGACGGCAGCAGCGGGCTGCTGGAGATATAAAAGCGCTGTGTGAGGAATCGGATGAAGACTCTGACAAGTGGAGCTACTGTTGCATTGATGCTAAGCTGCATATGAAATTATATCCTGTGTTTTATTATGCAATCTGTTTTTAGGAACTAGTCGAATGTGCTCCACGGAGAGCAGCGTATCATGAACATTTTCTAGACTGGGAGAAATTAATTGCACTAGCAGACAAAAGTTTTTTGAACAGTAAGATATTTAATGATTTTAAAGAAGTCTCTTCTGCTCACCAAGCCTGCATTTATTTGATCCAAAGTACAGCAAAAACAGTAAAATTTTGAAATATTTTTACTATTTAAAATAACTGTTTTCTATTTGAATA